GCCGGGGCCTGGAAACAAGCATGTGTCCCAGAGAATGGCCCAGGGCCCACACCTTGTCATGTGGGAGCACCGTGCCAGGGACTTGTTTACCAAGTCCAAGTTGGAAGGGACACGAGGTGACCTGGCCCAGTTCCATGTTTCGAGGCTTCCGAAGGCAGATGGATCTCCTCCTGTCACCTTGGAAAATGCTCCTGGACTTCCATTTTTGGCATTCATGGTGAAGAAAACAGCTGAAAAGCCTCACAGGAAATCCATTAAAAAATGGGAGAAAAAGTGCACTGAACCTTCTTTTAAATCGATTCTGTATAGCTCCACGTATAAGAAAGCGAGGAGAGGCCGGATTGAAACGAGAGCTGCGTGCCTCTGGAACTGACTCTACGATTCCCCGGGGACTCTCCTGTCTCCGCGGTTTAGGGGTGTGCGTTTTATAGCAGTGTGAGAGAGCGAGACAGGGCAGGGAACTGGGACCACGCCTGCACACGGTCCAACTTCCGTGGCGTTGTGTCTTCAGCAGTAGCGTGGATTAGACATCCTTTTGCTGGGACCAGCAGTTAGCATAATGGCTATGTTGCCGGACTCCTATGTAGTCGTCCGTGGTTCGAGTCCCCGACCCGGTGGCTTAAACTCACGCCGGGGCGTGTGCATGCGTGCCCAAGATCCCGAGAGGAGAATGGAGGAAAAGGGATTGTGGTGTGGCCATCCCCCCTGGGGGGTGATTTCTCGCTTTCTATCTCTCTGTCTCTGTCTGGCGAGCGCACGCGCCCTATAGCAAAAACTTCTCCAAAAATAAAAAATACAAAAATACATAGACATCCTTTTGCTGACAAAAGGAATCATGAGACAGTCTTGTGTCAGGTCAGAGCGGTTGGGATGTTTTCCTCAGAGCAGGTATGACTATAGGCCTGTGCTCACATGTGCTCGGCGTGGAGGTTTATACCGTGCTGTTCCTCCGGGAAACGCTTTTGGGAGATGAAGATGGCTCCAGGTTGGTCATGTCTTAGGGAGCCTGGCAGAAGTAAAAATCATAAATTATCTTTGAAAGGTTGCCCCCTCACACTGGCCTCACGGGATCCCTACGGAAAGGTGCTCAGGACTCAAAGTCCCAAGACCCGTGAGAAAGCCAATCTACCCCGAGTGAAAGTCATCGGGAATAGCAAATGGCCAGGCTGGCCCTGTGGCCCAGTGGTTAGGGAAGCTGGGTACCATGTGGCTGGCTGCAGTTTGGATCTTGGCCCCAGTGGCTTAAAACACAGCCTGGCAAGTGTGCCAGGGTGGAGGCACGGAGGAGTCCTGGCCCCACCACCGGGTATGTGACTGAGACAGGGTGGGAGTAAAGCGTGACCGGCCCCGGGGTCCTTCCTTCCCTCGCTTCCTTCTCCTCCCCCATCTCTCTCTCTCTCACACAAATTTTTAAAAAAATTTGCCAATGAAGACAGAGGAAGTGAGAAAGCACCCCCCCGTGGGGGACAGTCACACCACCCTCCTTTCTCCTCGGTCCCACCCTCCTTTCAGGAGTTTGAGCACGTGCCCAGCAAGTATTTCAGATGCCGCGTCCAGGACTCGAACCACATGGTCAGCTGTGCGGACTCCGGCCACCACTTCACCAACTGGCCCCAAGAATTTCTCAAAATTTATAATGAAAGACACGAATCATCAGATGCTGAAAACATAGAACCCAAAGCAGTATTAATCAATTTAAATATATATTCAGGGGCCAGCACATGGTGTGGTTAAGGCACTAGACTCTCTCTCTCTCTCTTTTTTTTTTTTTGGAGAGGGTTTCGCTATAGGGCGCGTGCGCTCGCCAGAAAGACAGAGAGAGAGACAGAGAGATAGAAAGCGAGAAATCACCCCCCGGGAGGGGGGATGGCCACGCTGCAATCCCTTCTCCTCCATTCTCCTCTCGGGATCTTGGGCACGCACGCACACGCGCCCGGCGTGAGTTTTAAGCCATCGGGTCCGGGACACGAACCGCAGTCGACTACGTGGGAGCCCAGCGACATAGCCATTACGCTAACCGCTGGTCCCAAGGCACTAGACTCTCACATGGCCAGCCATGGTTTGAGTCCCGGACCTGGTAACTTTTTCTGGACCCGTTGTGCTTTTTCTCTTTGCTTTTTCTTTAACACTAGAGGGCAAGTATGTGTGTGTGTGCACACGTGTGTGTGTGCGTGTGCGCGTGCGTGTGAGAGAGAGATGGAGGAGAAGGAAGCGAGGGAAGGAAGGACCCCGGGACTGGTCATGGTTTACTCCCATCCTGTCTCAGTCACATACCCGGTGGTGGGGCCAGGACTTGAACCCAGGACTCGAGCCCAGGTCGACCACGTGGGGTTGAGTGTCCACTGCCCTTCGGGCCTGGCCCTCCCATCATGCCTGAGCTCCCGGCAGACCAGGCCCTGGTGGCGTCCCCTGTTCTCTCCCTGGTGCGGAGCACGGTTTGTGTCCAGCCCGGGCTGAGCTGCCTCAGAGGGGCCAGACCTCAGAGGTGGAGTGTGGTCCTCTCAGGCCCCTGCCACCAGGACAGGGCGCTCGGAGCGGAACCTCCATGTGTTCTGTGTGTGTGTTGGGGGGGGTGGTGGTGGCTGGGAATGAGATTTTCTAGCCCTGACAGAGGGCTTGGGGAAGATGAAGGATTTTTGTGTTTCGGTCCCTGATGTAGGCCCCTTTAGCAAAGGGGCTGCCTCTCGGGACTCTTCTGCTTATAAACGGGGTTCCTTTGAAGGCACTGAGCCATTTGTCCTGGCATCTGGTTTGGGCCTGGGGCATGGTGCCCTCCAGGCTGAGGCGGCCAGCATGGAGGGCACTGCAAATGCCCCCCTCCCAGAGCACGCCTTCCTATGCTGGGAGTGGGAAGCACCCTGCACCTTGGGGCCCAGCCCTGGGCGGGGCAGCAGTCCTGCATCTGCTAAAGGTGGGGCCGGCCTTGGGGCTGGGGTGTTGCCAGAGGCTGTCAGTGGCTGAGTGTGTGAAGAAGCAGAGAGCCAGGGAAGAGCCGAGTCTCCAGCTGGAGACTGGGCCTGGTGGGGTGTGGGCAGGGCACTGAGAGTCGAACTTGGGACTCTGGGTATGAAACTCTTGTGGGTGGGGGACCAGCAGATGGCCTACTGGTTACGTCGCTGGGTTCCCATGTGGCCAACTGCATCCTGAGGCCTGTACCTAGCAGCTTAGAACTCACACCAGACGCGTGTGCATGTGTTGACACTTCAATTATTTACTAGACTACAGATTCTCTATCCCAGTGAAAATTTTTCAAGATTTTAGTGAACTATGTAGTAATTGGTCATTTACTCTACTTAGGTAAAGACCATCAAAGGCACCCATTCAGTCAAGAACAACAAAATAAATTTTTTCAGTAAAATACCAAGAGCTACTGAGATAATTCTATTAAAAATCAAATCTTACTCTAAATGATAAGTCACAGAAGCACATCAAATCAGCCTCACTGGGACCAGCAGATGGCATAATGGATATGTTGCTGGACTCCCATGGAGTCGAGCATAGTTAGATTTCTGGTCCAGGCAGCTCAAAACTCACGCTGGCTTATGTGCGTGCGTGCCCAACATCCCGAGAGGCGAATGGAGGAGAAGGGATTGCAGTGTGGCCATCCCCCCTGGGGGGTGATTTCTCGCTTTCTGCCCTTCTGTCTCTCCAGCGAGTGCATGTGCCCTAGAGCAAAAAATCTGTCAAACTCTTGCAGGTGGTACGGCTTGGCGGTACAGGGACTCGTGTCGTGAGAGGTAGGCCAAGGCATGGGGACCCGCGGCTCTCACGGCTACTGTGCCGTTGTAATGGCATGTCTTGACCCCTCTTAAAATCCACTCCCTCAGTCGGTTCTTGAGCAGCCCAGGAGACAGGTGCTCTTATCCCCAAACAGAGTGGTTAGGTCACCTGCCCGGATCACGCAGCCGCCGTGAAGGGTCGGGGCAGGTGAGGAGAGCCTTGGGAGGAGGGGCCGTGCCTGGCTGGGAGGGGAGGGTGGCCTGTGGTTGCAGCCCAGCCATCATCCCGTGTCCTGGCTGAGGTGCACATTCCCCTGGGTGACGAGCCTGACCCTGTGCACGCTGGCCTGGAGCCCTAGAACGTTCTCAGCCCTGCGGAACCCCGGGTCGAGCTCGGTGCAGGAGGGACACTCGCTGGAGTGGCAGTGCTTCTTGCCCGGCCTGGGCGAGGAGTTGTAGAGCGCACGGCAGCAGGGTCTTCCTGGGACTGGCGTGAGCTGAGCAGGCAGTTACAGGAAGCAGCTCTACCCCCCGCGCTAGACGTACCTGAGGTCTGCATCAGAACTTGCCGAGACACACAGGTGCTCAAAGTCAGGTTCTGCTCCCGTTGCCCTCGGGGAGGGCTGGCCGGGCTGTGCGCGGTGTTTTGGTGAGTGCTGTCGTCTGGCCCCACGGCACCCCTGCCACATGCGTCTCTGAGGATGGGCTCTCTAGGACTTTGAGTGTGCCTTTATTAATTTCTGCTGCTGCAGGGAACTGGGTCTTCCCCCTGTCGGGAGCCTCAGGCATTACTGGTGCCCTTTCTACCACTCTGGCTGGCCTTTCACCCACCCTTCTGTAGACCTAGGTTTCCCGACCTCCTCCCTCTTGTTTGGGCTAGCGGCAGCTGCCAGCGGCGGTGGGAAAGAGGAGTTGGGAGCTGGTGCTTGCTGGCGCCTGGTGCACTGGGAGGTGGGACTGGGTGGGCAGCGCACAGTATGCTCAGAGGTGGGGCCAGGCGGGAGGCGCACCGGGGTGTGGCTGGATGGGTGGGAGGTCCACTGTGCTGAGAGTTGCAGCCAGGATGGGAAGTGCAAGGTGTGCTGGGGTGTGGCTGGGAGGTGGGGCTGGATGGGAGGCCCAGGGTGCGTGGGGTGTCGCTGCTGGGTGGGAAGTGCCCGGTGCTCTGGGTGGTGCTGGCTGGCTGGGAGGCATGGGGTGCAGCAGCAGGTGCAGTCAGTGACCACCCAGGCCTGGGAGCTGGGGCTCAGCGGCTTTCTCCTCTCTGCGGCTCAGGGTCAGGACGCGGGGAGGCCGAGACGCGGGAGTGTATCTACTACAACGCCAACTGGGAGCTGGAGCGCACCAACCAGAGCGGCCTGGAGCGCTGCGAGGGCGAGCAGGACAAGCGGCTGCACTGCTATGCCTCCTGGCGCAACAGCTCGGGCACCATCGAGCTAGTCAAGAAGGGCTGCTGGCTGGACGACTTCAACTGCTACGACAGGTGCCCTGCGCTCAGAGCCCCCAGGGCCCAGGGTAGGGTGTCCGAGTGGGAGGGGAAAGACAGGAAGGGGCCCTTTCCCTGGAGCGGTCTCTGAGTGTCCGCCCGCTGTCCCTCCCTGGCCTTGGGTCACTATGGAGGTCCCAGGTGTTGCCCTGGAGGTGCTCTGCCCGTCGGGGCTCAGCAGGGCAAGCCAGGCCCGCGAGTCTGGCCTCCCCTGGCTGAGAGGCTATGCACTACCACCTGCAGGCAGGAGTGCGTGGCCACCGAGGAGAACCCCCAGGTGTACTTCTGCTGCTGCGAAGGCAACTTCTGCAACGAGCGCTTCACCCACTTGCCCGAGGCCGGCGGCCCCGAAGGTGAGGGGTGGTGGGAGGAGGGCCTGCACTGCAGACCAGGCCTCCTGGTGGGAGCGTTTGACTCCAGATGGGGCGGGGAGTGGCTGCAGGGCCCTCTGGTCTAGCTCCGGAGGTGTGGGGGCGGGCGGGCTGTGTGACACAGGGCTCCGTGTGTCCCCCAGTCACGTACGAGCCACCCCCGACAGCCCCCACTCTGCTCACGGTGCTGGCCTACTCGCTGCTGCCCATCGGGGGCCTCTCCCTCATTGTCCTGCTGGCCTTCTGGATGTACCGACACCGCAAGCCCCCCTACGGCCACGTGGACATTCACGAGGTGAGGCAGTGCTGGGGCCGGCGGGCCGGGGCCTGGCTAGACAGGGAGGCCAAGCAGACCTCACGACGCCCTCGCTCCCGCTCCCCCACAGGACCCTGGGCCCCCGCCGCCATCCCCGCTGGTGGGCCTGAAGCCACTGCAGCTGCTGGAGATCAAGGCCCGGGGGCGCTTCGGCTGTGTCTGGAAGGCCCAGCTCATGAACGACTTCGTGGCCGTCAAGATCTTCCCGCTCCAGGTGAGTGTCGAGGGGCTCCAGGCCATCCGCCTCTCTGTGAGGTCCAGCCGGAGCCGCTCCTGCCCGGGAGGTCCGAGCACTGAGCACACAGCACACGTGGGGTGAATGGGAAGTGGGGCCCCGCTGGGAGCGGCTACTCGCGTTGCACTTGGCTGGGCCGCAGGTCCCGTGCAGCAGTGAGGTGCACAGGCTCGGGCGGGCTTTGCGGACCGTGGTCCCTGGCTTCCAGGGCTTTGTTTTGTTCTTTAGGTTTCTGCCGTAGGGCGCGCGTGCTCATAGGAGCGGGGGTGAGGAATCACCCCCCGGGGGATTGTCCACATCGTAGTCCCCTCTCACCACACAGTCCCTCTCCCCGCTCCTCTCGGGCTCTTGGGCAGGCCCACACACCCTCCTGGTGGGATTTTCAAGCTGCTGGTTCTAGGACTCAACTGCTGTCAGCCATGAAGGAATCCAGTGCCTTAACCACCAGGCCACTCCAGGCAGTTACTCAGGACACTTAGCAGAGCCCGTCCTGTCTCTGCCGCTCAGTTCTTGGGTAACATTGGGCCACTCACTCTCCATCTCTGGCCTTCTGTAGCCTTGAAGGTACATCGAGGTGATGCGATGGCAGGGGCCACCATCCTTGTCTTCTGCTGGGCCCGGCAGGGGCTAGGGCTGGGCGGCCAGGGGTAGGGACGGCTGTAGGGTGGTGTGGCTGCAGCAGGACTGAGCTGTCGTCCCCCACACCAGGACAAGCAGTCGTGGCAGAGCGAGCGGGAGATCTTCAGCACGCCCGGCATGAAGCACGAGAACCTGCTGCAGTTCATCGCCGCGGAGAAGCGCGGCTCCAGCCTCGACGTGGAGCTGTGGCTCATCACGGCCTTCCACGACAAGGTGAGCACACTGCCGGGGACTGGCCGGCCAGGCCCAGTGGGCGCCGTGGGGCCTGCCGCTGCCGGGGCCCTGCCCTGCCGTGGTGGCCACGATAGGTGAGGCGTGCTGTGGCCTATGGGCATGGGCATCCCCAGGAAGGTTTCCACCATAGAGCAGGGACTTCACGGCCACACCCTCTGGCCTCATCCATCTTCCATGACAAGCGTGGCCTTCTGGGAGAGGAGCTAACCATCGGCCCATCCTTCCCGGGGCAGAAGCGGGTCCTGTCCGGGACCCAGAGCCTGTCCCCAAGTTCTGTGCTGGTTTCCCTTAGGGCTCCCTCACGGATTACCTCAAGGGGAACATCATCACGTGGAGTGAACTGTGTCACGTGGCAGAGACGATGTCACGAGGCCTCTCGTACCTGCACGAGGATGTGCCCTGGTGCCGTGGCGAGGGCCACAAGCCGTCTATCGCCCACAGGTATGTGGGTGCAGGCGTTCTTCCTGCGCGCGGCCTGGAGTTGCAGGAGGGCTGATGGGTGAGAGCAAGCTTGGGGTGCGACTCAACATCCAAAACACGGCTTCGTTTGCTGCGGGGTCCGGGCAGCTGGGTGCCAAACCTGGAGAGTCCTGGGGGGACGGCCTGGCCCCACAAACTGGTTTTCTGGTGACCTCTAATGGCCACATGAGGAAATGCTGACTCCATTACTGTATTTGGAGAGTTGACGTAGCAGTTCTCAAATTTTGTCCCCCACATTTTCTTTTCTTTTCTTCCTTTCTTTCTTTCTTTCTTTCTTTTTTGTAAGGGTGTGTGTGCTCACCAGAGAGAGAAGGAAAATGAGAAATCACCCCCCAAGGAGAGTGGCCCTGCTGCAATCCCTCTTCCTCCATTCCTCCCTTGGGATTCTGGGCACACGCGCCTGGCGTGTTTTTCAAGTTGCTGGGTCCAGGACTCCAACTGCGGAGTGGGCCATGCGGGATCCAGCTCCTTAGCCAGCACACCCGCTGCTGACCTGGTCAGGACCCCTCGCGCTCTTAGAAGGAGCTTTGGTATGCGTGGGTTGTGTCTGTCAGTATTGAGCCCATCTGCCCATCTCCCTGGCCCTGTCCGTGGTTCATAGATGCCAGAGGGCCTCTGGGAAACCGCTCTGTCCCCCAGAGGGAATGAGCTTTCAAAGAGCAAATGCCGGGTGCCCTGCTGGTGCTGCACGACGGCGCTCTGCAGGGCCGGAGTGCGTGCGGAGATCGGTCAGTTCCCAGGCCGAGCCCAGGAGAACTGTCTGTTGCGGGTACTTGTCCCTGTCCGTGGCTCACTCAGGAAAGAAACGCTGCGTTAGCATGATGTTGGCTTTGTAGAGTCCCTGCAGCAGTCTCATGGACCTTCTGGTCCTTGAGCCGTGCATCAGGAGCCAGCGTGTTAACTGGTCACCATCATGCTCACTGAGTGGCAGGCGCGGCTTGAAGTCCTTGAGAAACAGCAGCTCACTGAACCCTCGGTACCGCCCTGCGAGAGCGTCCCTTACTCAGCGCCCGCCTGCGACCACACGTGTTTCGGGTTTCAGATATTTTTGATATTTGGAGCATTTGCATGTACATGATGGGATATTTAGGGATGGGAGCCATGTCTGAACATGACGTCATGTTCGTGCGCTTCCTGCTCGCCTGACACATGGCCCGAAGGTGATTTTATGCTGTGTTTGTAGAGCAGCTTTGGCTGATCCGTCCCATGAGACTCATGGGGGACTTCCACTTGTGGAGTGTGAGTGCCCAAAAGGTTTAGAATTTGGGGCATTTCAGGTTTTGGAGTTACATATGCTTAATCTATTCTGTTTGCCTCGGCCCTGTCTTTTTTTTTTTTTTTTGGAGAAATTTTTGCTCTAGGGCACGTGCACTCGCCAAAGAGACAGAAAGCGAGAAATCACCCCCCCAGGGGGGATGGCCACGCGGCAATCCCCTCTCCTCCATTCTCCTCTTGGGATCTTGGGCACGCACACGTGCCCGGCACGAGCTTAGGCCACCGGGTCCAGGACTCGAACTGCAGTTGACTACATGGGAGTTCAGTAACATAGCCATTACGCTAATTGCTGGTCCTTTTTTTTGTTTTGTTTTGTTTTGTTTTTGAGGAAGCAAGTTACTATTAAATTCCTGTTCTTACTGACATGCCTGTAGTGTGAATTTCTCCCTGAAAACTGACACCCCAGGCTAATGTGCCTGTCTCCAGTTCCTCCGAGGATGTCTGGGCTAACTTTAGATATTGTGAGGATTGGGACAGGATCTGCCCGCGGGGCGTACACATAGGCGTTGCCGTGCCAACCCTGCAGACACCTGTGACATGCAGTGGGGGGTCCTGAAGCTGCCTGCTATGCGGCCTAACCTGTGGCTTCACCTCTGTGCCCAGCGCAGCCCGCCCTCGCCCTCGGATAGGGTGGAGTGGCCCCGTCGGAGGTGGCGGGGCACAGACAAATGTCTCGGGAGCCAGGGCAGGGACTGGAGCGTGAGGTACAGCGCCCTCAGCCCACCTGTCTCCGCAGGGACTTCAAAAGCAAGAATGTATTGTTGAAGAGCGACCTCACGGCCGTGCTGGCTGACTTCGGCTTGGCCGTTCGATTCGAGCCGGGAAAACCTCCAGGGGACACCCACGGGCAGGTAAGGAGATCTGGGGGGCTAGGGAGTTGTCTCAGGGTAGATACTTGCCCTAGGTGCTCAGCTGCTGAGGTGCCAGGGCAGGGGTCACTGTGAGCTCAGAGAAGGGTGAGAACACAGGGAACCAGAGGGACACCAAGACCCTCCCTGAGCCAGACCCTGAGAAGTGCAGATCCCGCCTGATGAGCTTCTGCCATAGGCCCTTATCACGTTAATCTTCCTTCTCTTTCTCTTTCAGTTGTTACTTCATAAGATAAGGTAGAAATGTACTAAGAATCTAAATTAAAAATCTAGGCAAAGTAACTAAAAAGTAAACCTAAAAATTAACTAGCAAATCACTTTAAAGCAATTTATGTTAAATTTTCTTTTCTTTTTTTTTTTTTTTTAGAAATGTTTTTGTTATAGGGCGCGTGCGCTTGCCAGACAGACAGAGAGAGACAGAAAGTGAGAAATCACCCCCCAGGGGGGATGGCCATGCCGCAATCCCTTCTCCTCCATTCTCCTCTCGGGATCTTGGGCACGCACGCACACGCGCCCGGCGTGAGTTTAAGTCACCGGGTCCGGGACTCAAACTGCGGTTGACTACGTGGGAGTCCAGCGACATAGCCATTACGCTAACTGCTGGTCCCTATGTGAATATTTGTAACGGCCCGCTCTCCCCGTCTTCATGTCATAAAGCAGACATCATCTCTGAGGCTCCTTGTGGTCTCGCTGTGGTCATTTGGTAGCAGCTCCATCTTCGATTAGCTCTGTCTCAAGAAATAATCATTGAGGATTTCCAAATTTTAAGAATTATTTATTTATTTATTTAAATTTCGCCGGAAAGCGAGACAGAAAGAGAAAGAAAGAGAGAAAGCAAGCCGCCAGGGCTGGGACTCAAGCCACTCTCGGCCACGTGGGAGTCCAGTGCCCTTAACCACTACACCACCTGCTGGCCCCAAGTATTTCTGAATTTTAAAACATCGCGGTGTGCTTCACGCCGCGACCTCTTGTAACTGCCGTGAGCGTGGTGAGTCGGGGCTGCCATCATCGGTCACCCGCTCCGAGTGCCACTCCACCCTGCCTGCCGCCGCCGTGCGTGTGGTTATTCACGCGTGGCCAGCCTCGGTACCCCTGCCTGTGTGTCTTCACGTAGGTGGGCACGAGACGGTACATGGCCCCTGAGGTGCTCGAGGGAGCCATCAACTTCCAGAGAGACGCCTTCCTGCGCATCGACATGTACGCCATGGGGCTGGTGCTGTGGGAGCTTGTGTCTCGCTGCACGGCCGCAGATGGTGAGGGGAGCCGCCCTGGGCGTGCTGGGGAGTGGCTCTGGGGCAGCGGGCCCTCGCTGCGATCCCACCAGGCGCTCTCTCCCACCTCCAGGACCTGTGGACGAGTACATGCTGCCCTTTGAGGAAGAAATCGGCCAGCACCCTTCACTGGAGGAGCTGCAGGAGGTGGTTGTGCACAAGAAGATGAGGCCTGCCATTAAGGATCACTGGCTGAAGCACCCGGTGAGGGGCCAGGCTGTGGGCAGCCCTGCAGGGGGCCGAGAAGGGGACCCTCCATGTGAGGCAGGAACCTGCGATCAGGGGGAGTGTCCCTTGGCAACCCCAGGCTCATCCTCGCTCAGGGGCCCTAACAGGGGTATCTTCTTCCTCTCCCCACCTCTGCACAGGGCCTGGCCCAGCTCTGTGTGACCATTGAAGAGTGCTGGGACCACGACGCAGAGGCTCGCTTGTCTGCGGGCTGTGTGGAGGAGCGGGTGTCCCTGATCCGGAGGTCGGTCAACGGCACTACCTCGGACTGTCTTGTCTCCCTGGTGACCTCCGTCACCAATGTGGACCTGCCCCCTAAAGAGTCAAGCATCTAAACCCAGGACACGAGTGTCTCCGGACTCAGTGGATCTGAAGAAAAAAAAAGGAAAAAAAAAAAAAAGTTGTGTTTTGTTTTGGAAATCTCATAAAACCAACAAACACATAAAATGCAGCTGCTATTTTACCTTGACTTTTTATTATTATTCTAATTATTCTAATTATTATTATTAATATTATTTTTGGATGGATCAGTTTTTACCAGCATACTGCTCTACTGTACCGCAGGCAGCGGACGCGTCAGCGGGCGCCGGGGTGCTGAGCCCCGCGTGCAGAGCCGGCGCCGCGCTCCAGAGCCTCGGCCACCTCCTGTCCTTCGGGACTCGCCGCTCCCGCGTGCTCCCTCTGTGTCGTCTCAGAATCTGTGACACAAAGAAACCCATCTCCTGTCTTAGGAAACTCTAATGCTGCAAACTCTACCTAGAGGAACCTTTGAAGACTGTTACATACGAACTCACCTTCCTCCAAGGAGGCGTCTCCTCCCCTCCCCGTCCCCACCTCTCCACCTCCCCACCTCCCCACCTCCCCACCTCCCCACCTCTGGTTTTATTTTTCTCCCTCTTAGACAGCTTAAGAAACAGCAGACGTGTCTTTCATGGATCTAACGGGTGTCGTCCCGACCGAGGAGAAGCCGGGATGAGGACGAGGATGGTTCAGACTGGAGTTGGAAGGGAGGGTGGTGCGGGGGTCGGGTTGGGGACAGAGCTACACTGGACCTGGGCACGTTCAGAGTGACATCCTTTGCTGCGGAGGCTACTTCTCAGGTAACCAAGGATCGAGGGGGGAAGGACCTCGTGGGGGCCGAGCATTACGGCCGGAGTGGGGTTTCCAGAAGGTCTGAGGAGAGCAGGGGCAGCTCGGACCCAACTGCTGGCCCTGACTACCGTCCTCCCC